AAAGAGTTGGAAATGGTAAATATTAAGGGGTTAGGTGGGAATGCATTGAAGGAAATATAAAATTGGTAATGGGTGGGAGCGATGGGGACGCATCAAACTTTACTCCAATTAGGCCATACACTCCAATCAATTCATATCATACTTTACAGCCAGGGACGGGGACTCTGTTGTCATTTTTTTAAATAAAATTAAGGGATAATTACAAATATGGTAAAAATATTTAGTAAAATAGCAAAGCACTTTGCTACTCACTACAATTTCTTTACAAATAAGGATACCTTTAACTTGAGATATGCGTCAATTATCGTTGAGCAATGTTCGTTTTGTCATCATAGATTAAAATTAAACCTATAATATAAAATAAAGTGAAATTACTAAAATAATATAAAGTATACTCCAAGTGATAAAAGGCGATTGTATATGTTTGAAATAGGAAAAGAAAAGTAGTAGTGTTGTAAATTTGTAAGATGAAAAAGTAAAAGGAAAAAGGTAATTTAGGAGGGATGGAGTGGGAAAAGGGGGAAGTGAATAATTGGAGGGAAAAAGAAAAGAAAGAGGGGGTGAAAAGGGGAAAGAGAGTGGGAACAGAAAGAAATGAGGATATCATTGATGGGATCTGCATCTGCTTCCTAATACTTTAATATATATTATTATTATTATTATTACAAATAGAGTGTATACGGGCCTAGTGTCTAGTATTGTGTGTGTTTTGGTTTGACAAGAGTGAGTGAGTAGTAGAGAGTACAGACATAACAATTAATTACTCCCCACTCCAATTCTTGCAGCCCCACAGCCTCTGACACCCTTCTCACTCTCTCTCTTCCCTTTCCCTTTCCCTTTTTATTTCCTATGGACTCCACTTGGAACTTGGACCACCATCGTTTCTAACTTCAACAACCTAACTTTTACCCCTTCTTTTTCCACTCTACTATTCTACTTACAACTTACATGCTACTATGTAAATTTATAGAATCATCACCCAACTCATTAACAAACCATACAAACTTCAATAATCCAAGTCTAAGTTACAAAAAAGCCAAAGTCAACCGTTAAAATATGTTAATTTATTTGCAATATCTAACAGCTGGTGGAGAAAGAATTAACCTAATTAACTTCACCAGTAACATACCCAAATTATACTTGTAAAAATAGTCCAAAACATGGTCTACTCAAATATAATCTGGTTAAGTTAAGTTAAACAAAAGTATAAAAGGACAAAAAAAAAGAAACGAAAAGTTGAATAAAATGAATAGAAACGTAAAAGTATACAGACGAAATGTGACATAACAAAACATAAAAGGGTGTGATAAATGAACAGTAATTTTCAGTGCTGGAGCCTGGGACTGGGACTGTCCTTGGGCTTGGCCAAATCCTACGCTGCTCTGCTCTCAAATAATACACCGCCTATTTTATTATTTCCACTTTCTATCTATATACCCTTCTTTTCTCCTCTAATTTTCTATAAGCCCTTCCAAGTTTCCACCTACCTTTTATATCGGATTCGTTTTTGCTGTAGCCGATATGTTTCAAATAAATTTAATAGCATCCAGTATTTGAAATATATAAATTCTCCAGCAACAACGCATTACGATACCCCAGATATATTTGGACTATTCAGAAAATAATTTTTTATCGGCGGGGAAAGTTTATCTTCTATTTCCCTCAATTCAAAATTTGTATAATTTTCCCTATTTATTGGAAAAAGGAAGAATATTTCCACGCATTCGTATTATAATAATAAGCAATAAATTTTAGTTAAACAAAAAATTGGAGGACTTTGGATGAAGATCAGCGAATGCGACAGAGAATGTGGTGGATAAGTCCATGATTTTCATGTGGTATATACATATTTTTTAATACGCTAAAAAAAATATTGAGAAAACGGAGTATTAATTAAGTAAGGGCATAGTTGGGAAGCAGGCGATATATTATTTAATGAAAAGAAAAAATAATAATAATGCTCCATTTATTTAAAAGGAA